GTGAGGTTGGCCCAGGATCGAGCATTGTTTCATTCTGCTGTGCATGGGGTCGCTATGAGTCGGTTCCGACTCGATGGCACCTGACAACAACAACAACAAAACGTCTTTAGAAAAGTACTTTTGAAATCCTAGGTTTCCACCAAAAAATAAACTGTAAAAAATTATTAATTGCTGCTCCGTGCAAGAGGGAAGAGACACTTGTGAAGTGATTATGTCGGGTAAGATCTGTGTGTGTGTGTATATTTGAAGGGGCTTCAGAAAGTTTATGGGAAGATAGAATTAAAAGCTAGGAAGAAGATGCTCCCGTCAAGTTTCAAACCGTCTCCGAAACTCATTTTAGCGTCTGTCCTCTGTGCTGTCCGGTCACTGTGGATCTGATTCAATCCATGGCAGTGGGCATATGTATGGAGTCCTGCGGTAGGATAAAGCACTGGACTGTACTGGACCACAGAGTCAGTTTGAACCCCAAGGTCTGCAGTTCAAACTCACCAGTTGCTCCTTAGGAACATGCTACACAGGGTCGCTATGAGTCAGAACTGACTCAATGGCGCTTAAGAAGAGCAGCAGCATGGAGGTCTTGAAGAGTTTGCCATCTTCTGAATGAAGGGTGAGATCTAGGTCAGGCTATCATTCAGGCTCACTACTTCCTACATATTTATTTGGCCTTTAGAAAAATCCCTTCTTTCTCTGCATGTCAGTTTCCTCCTCTCTGCAAAAATGACCTAGCATGTTGCCTGTGTAAAAACAGTGCACCTTCAGATTGATTCCAACGCCTGGCGACCCCGTGTGTGTCAACATAGAGCTGAGCTCCAGAGGGTTCTCACTGACTGCTTGTTGAGCCCTAGATCACCAGGCCTTTATTCTGAGGTACGGATGGGTGAGCTGTCATCTCCTTGGAAGCAGACGCCCACAGCTTTCTCCCATGCAGTAACTAGTGGCTTCAAACCCCCAATTCTGCCAAGTGTGTAGGAACTACATCTTCTTTACAATCGCCTGATCAGTAGACCTGGGAAGATGAAACACAAATCCACGCCAGCTACTCCTTTCTGACTTAATGACTCTGGAGGACTGACAGCCAACTGCCACAGCCCCCTCCAAGGAGTGGCTGGTGGGGTCAAACCACCAGACTAGTTAGCAGTACAGTGCTTAGTCTCTGCACCACCAGGGCTCCTTACAACTAGCCCCCAAATTCCCAGCATCTTCCTGTATCCAGTAGGTGGAGCTGTGGACACATCTCCTTGCCAGAAAAATCTTGTTAAATGCCATCTAGTTCTGATTCTGACCCTAGAATAGGGTTCCTAAGAAGCAGCTGGTGGGTTTAAACCACTAACCTTTCAGTTAGAAGTTCAGTGCTTACCCGTGTCACAACAGGAATCCAGGAAAATTGTAGACCTCTATGTAGGCCTTGATATTTTTAGCCATGAGAATGATGAGTTTTAATTTCAGGAGCACAGACACTCATGCATGCTGTCTGAGGCACACACACACACATACAAACTATATAAGGGACACAGACACTCATACATACTCTCTGAGGGACACACACACACATACATACTCTCTGAGAGGAACACACACACACTCATACATACTGTCTAAGGAACACACACATTCATACATACTGTCTGAGGGACACACACACTCATACATACTGTCTGAGGGAC